CAGGTTAGGGAACAAGTGTAAGAATTTTGACAGTGGCTGATTTGTCTATTTCAATTATATATTCCCAAACCGGGAAATGACTGAGGGTGGATTTAGGGAAACACCAGCCTGCCTGTGAAACAGACCCATTGCAAGGCATTACTGACCTCTGTCAACAACTACTTTGGCATACACGGCAGTACTACAAGTGCAGGAGTCAGTGTCAGTTAAGAACCAGTAGTCAAAAAGCCCCCCACAACTTGATTATTTTATCTACTAGTACCTTAGCCATGGCTGCAGGGCTGCAGAAGATTTATAGTACCTGTGTGTGTACACGCACATCTGTATGTAAGTATGGCTGGGTGCCCCACTGATTGTGCCCAAGGCAGGCTGTAAAGAGTCAAACCCACACCTGGCTTGTTTATAGAACTGTATCTAGCTGAAGCCTACATGCCGAGGTCAGAGTGACTCACACCCAAATTCTGTTCCCAAAGTGAAAACCTTCTTTACTAAAAAGTCAAGGTTAGTTATCAACTATAACCTGTATTTTCTCTGTTCTGTTCCTAATTCAAGTATGCTTTGTCGCTCCCTTTATTTACAAGCCTTGCCTGCATCAGCAACACATCCAGAGCAACTCCACATAGTCCCTTCACACAGCCCTCTACTTCACTCTACCTATGATGTCACCAATAAATATCAACAGCCCTGGGTGTTCCGGGCCTTGGCTTCTTCAAGCTTTGGCTTCTTTAAGCCTCTGACTGTTCAAGCCCTGCTCACCCTGGCTCCCCATATATCTGTCTCTTTAATTCTGTCTTTAAGTCTTTCCTCTTGCCATGCATCGCAGCACCAAGCAGGACATCGGGATCCGCTGCAGGGGTCTCTGAAATGCACAAGAATATATGTATATGCACATTTTTTTTTGGGGGGGAGACCTATATAAGAGGATTATTCCTTTAGGGAATCCAGCCTCCCCATCATTCGAGGGACTTTGACTGCTTATGTCATGGACTCCAGTGTCGCTGTCATTGCCTGTGGAGCTGTGGTTCCACATAGAGATGGAGGCCCACTTGGGCTCTTTCCCATCATGCCTCTTCATGGATGCCTGCCTTGTTATCACTTTAAATGATAACCAGGGATTCAGCTCAGTGGTTCCGCCGCCTGCCTGGCAAGTGCAAGGACCTGAGTTCGATACCCGTTATCCCCCAAAAAATATCTCTACAGGGGTGTGTGTTTCACTATGATAATGAAGCAAAGGTAACTATAGGTTGCTTTGGTGACTCTTCTACACATTTGCCCCTTACCATGTAGAAGGAATCCCTAATACTGTTTTAAATAAGTTATTGTTCTGTCTTAAGAAGTGTGACTGATAGCTAAGTTAACTATTTTTCTTGGTCCTACCTTCCTGGTGTACCTGTTGACCACAAAGATATTAAACCTTAACTTGACTCCTAAGTGACCCCATAACCCTACAGGTGCTGTCAACTGTGTCACTTTTAGACAAAGCAGAAACAGTTAACACGTAATGACCATTTACGATGTGCTAGCCGACTGCTTACATTATTACCTAATATAATCTGAACACATCTTTCCTTTTTATTTCAACAAATATCTTTCTTTCTTTTCTCAGTACTGGAGTTTGAACCCAGGAGCTTTGCACTGAGCCCCATCCCCACTTTGTTTTTTAAGAGTCATAAAAAGGTTTCTTAGGCAGAATTTAAAGTGCGCACTCAAAGAAAACAGAGTGCAGGCCCTTAAGACAGAGGCACGTTATCATTGGAGCTCAGAATGTTTATGTGTTTCAGGAGAAGAACTTTGTGGATTTTGTGAATGTATAGAAAGTTTGGGCTTGGTTTATGGGAGAAGAGGGATGATCCAGCCACAGGGAGAAAGATAATGGCTCCATTCATGGGTGAAAGGATGACCCATTTTATGGGAGAAAGGCAGGGGCCCAATCTATTATATTTAAGGTCAGGTTTCTGCCCTTTACCTTATAGACTAGGCTAATTTATGGACCTAAAATATCTTTAAGGTATTTGGGGTATTTTTGTTTGTTTAGACAAGGTCTCACTAAATGTCTAAGTAGCCCAGGCTGGTCTCGAACTCCATCTTCGAGATCCTCGATCCTCCTGCCTCAGCCTCCCAAGTGCTGGGATTACAGGCGTGTGCCTCCATGCCTGGTTTGGAATACAATTTAATGTTGATTGACACTAGCCACCTGAAGCTGCCTACATCAATTTCACAGGTAATACAATTTAATGTTGATTGACACTAGCCACCTGAAGCTGCCTACATCAATTTCACAGGTTTAAAAATGCGAGCCCTGATAACACCACCCACACCTCAGATGCCAACCTCACTTTCATCAGTGCAAACTCTGGTCTGATCCAGATCGTACCAGAAGAACAAGGACATTGCGACTACTGTGGAAATCCCATGCATTTTAGAAGCTTCATAACAGGAGCCCAGGAGAAAGACCAGACAAAGTCCTCCCAGCCCAACCCCACAGGATATGCGTGCCAGGCAAGTGCTCTACCCCTGAGCTATATCCCCAGCCCAGAAAAGTCTTTCACTTTATAATACTACAACCAATGTATCCTCCAAGGTAGGTTCTGGTATACTACTTTACAGATAAGGTAACTGAGACTTAGAGAGGAAAAGTTATTTACCCATAATTACATAGACAATCTCCCCCAGACCTGAGTGTGTGTGTGAGGTGGTTACTGGGGTCCGAATCCATGACCTTCACATTGAGTTACATCCCTAGCCCTATTTTTGTTGTTGTTGGAGACAGGGTCTAGCTAAGTTGCTTCAGTTGCCCAGGCTGAGCTCAAATTCAGACGTGAACTCAATTTTCTATGATGTTGATTGAGATTTCTATGGAAGATGACTTTACATTAGTGTGCTCATACCCCAATGTATATGGAGATCCATAAGGGTATGGAAAGAAAACATTGCCATAAAATTGAAAAAAACCAGGCACAGTTGGCACTGACCTGTAGTCCAAGATACTCCAGAGGCCAAGGCAGAAGGATTACTTGAAGCCAGAATTCCAGCCTAAGAAATGTAGCAAGAGCATACCTCAAAACTAAGTGAAACTAAATGTCACAAATAAAAAAGCATTACTAAATATAGGCTAAGGTAAATTTATATTTGAAGTTAATGTACATTTTGATGGTATTTTCAACATACTTATATTCAATTAAAACTTTGAGGATTACCTACCTATATGATAAAGGAACTTCATACTTAGAGTAATGATTATATAGGCCTCACAGTCCAGGATACCATTTCTGTATATATATTCAGAAAGAAATCCACCTTGGAAATCTGACTTACTTACTAGGGAAGCAACCAGTATGAATGAAGTTGGAAAAAAGTAGAGTTTATAACTTGAGGGAACATCAACATTTAGGAGGTAAGCCAGAGACAAGAATTACCTGTGTCTAATAAGCCAAAGGATAGGGAAATGAATCTGATCAAATTTGCCCACTTTCCTAGCATTTCACCGATATTTTAAAATTTAATTCAGATAGATATTGACCTTAAAGAACTCTTTAGAGCTTTTGTTGGTTTATTTGTTTTTGGAGTCACTTTTATAATTTAAGCCAAAAGATGATAAAATAAAAAGCCAAAGGATAGAAATGAATCTGATCAAATTTGCCCACTTTCCTAGCATTTCACCGATATTTTAAAATTTAATTCAGATAGATATTGACCTTAAAGAACTCTTTAGAGCTTTTGTTGGTTTATTTGTTTTTGGAGTCACTTTTATAATTTAAGCCAAAAGATGATAAAATAAAGCTTCTGTTTATTTCTTTTTAAGTTGTGAGCTAATTTCAGAAAAATACAAGTGGGAGAAATTCAGTGTTTGTTTTCCCTAGATACTCCATGATGTAAATATTTTTGTTTCTAAGTGTTCTCTATTTTATGGATAAGAATAATAGAACTTGATAATTCAGGGTGTCCAAAAAAGAAAAATGAAAATGAAAAAAAGCCCCACTATTTTGAAGAATTAACTTTCAACATGTATCCTTCTCCTCACCCCTCTTTCTCTTTGTGTATTTGGGTGGTGTGTATCACTGGAGATTAAGCCCAGGGCCTCAAGAAGGCTGGGGAAGCATTCTACCACTGAGCCACATCCACAAACCTATAACTAAATCTTTCTTTTCTAGTAGCAGTGAAAAATAATCTATACCATATGAAATCAACCTGAAAATTAGTTCATTATATAATGGTTACAGGAAACTTTTCTATATCCATGTTAAATGTGATACTGTCATTTTAATTCTCTGCAAATAGGGAACAGCAATTAAGATTGCATAAATGCCTTTTCAGAAAGAGTATCAAATACAATGGAAGAGAATGGTCATGTTATTTAAAGTTGGTTCACCACTCAGTACTTTATTTATATAGCGTCTGAACTATTTTGCCACAAACATAAGAGTTTAGCACTTAAATACTTCTGAATTCATTTTTAAACTTCTGGGAACAATTTCTAGGAATACATATGCAAACTGCTAACAGTTCTCTGAGATTCATTCCAGATATGCTATAAGAAACCAAAGTATACATTTATTTTATTATTATTATTATTTTGGTACCGGGGATCAAACTCAGGTCCTTGCGCTTACGAGGCAGGCGGTGGCACCACTGAGCTAAATCCCTAGCCCGGGTAATTCAAATTTTTAAATTGTCATCTGTACCTGTCATGAGGCTCCTTTAGTGCTACCAGAGTATACTTATTTTGGTCAAGGCTGCCCTCTTTGGAAAACGGGCAAGGAAAGACTCTAACCACTCTATCCCACTAGAGTAAATGTGCAGGCAGCCAGCTATCATACACTCCATGAAGGTCAGGAAAATTGAGCTGGCATAGAAGTAAGACATCTTTTCATGTTACTTGTGAAGTGAGAAGATATTTCTAGCCAGGCCACTGGAAAGAATCTACTTTCTCACTACACAGTCATTAAAAACAGATTAACTGCTGGGTGTGGTGGTGCACACCTGTAATCCCAGCACTCGGAGGCTGAGGCAGGAGGATCACTGTGAGTTCAAGACAAACCTGGGCTACAAAGTGAGTTCCAGGTCAGACTCAACTACATAGTTAGACCTTGTCTCAAAAACAACAACAACAGCAACAACAACAACCACAAAAACACAAAAAACCAGATTAACGATGCTTTATTAGAAGCTGGCTTTCTTACAAAACCCAGTAAGTAGGGTCCCCAATTTAGTGATCTTACTGAGAGACTGAAAGTAATATATTTGTTGCTTGAAAAAAGCAACACAATCTGTTTATTGAGCAGCTATGCATGCAAATCCGTAAACTATGTTTAAATCAGGTTATAAAAATCACATTTAAAGAAAAGTTAGGAAGTATGCAGTATGTTCTCTTATCCCTTTTAGCTTGAGTAAAATGTGAGAGCTTGGGTTGGAGATGTAGCTCAGTGGAACTGCACCTGCCTGGCAAGTGCAAGGTCCTGAGTTCAACACCTAGTTAAAATAAAAAAAAAAAAAAAAAGTGAGAGCCTTTGCAGGAAAACACTATAAACTGATACTTTCTAACACCTAAATTTGCAAAATACTTTGTAGGCAAAGGTTTCATGGCTTAATGTAATATAAAAGGCTACCTTCATTGGCTACTCTGATCTCTAATGTCATATTTGTAAATTAAACTATTTAATAAAGTTTGGATACACTGTGCTTGTCTTTTATATCAGGAAGACATAAAGTTACATAGCAGCAGCTGTTCAGTAACACTCATTTAACTGTACTTCTCCTGAAATTCTGGGTATACATGGTTGGAACACACTTTTCCTTTATAAATTGACTCCACAGTGTTGAATCCCAGGAATTAAATAAATACACCTAGGTTACTCTTTAGATTGACTGTTTTAATATCTACATGCTGCCAGATGTAGTTGTACAGACCTGTAATTCCAACTACTGAGGAGGCTGAGGCAGGAGGATTGTAAGTTTGAGGCCCTCTTGGGTAACTTGGTGAGACCTTTTCTCAATAAATAAAAAAAGCTGGGATATAGGTCAGGGTAGAATACTTGTCTAGCAAGCCAAAGCACTGGGTTCAACTCCAATACTGTAATAAAATAAGATAAAATAAAAATTTTAAATCTGCATGCTGGGGTTTGAATGTTCCCAAAAGGTTCAGTGTTGGAAGCTTGGTCACCAGGGTAATGATGTACAGAGAGGATTGGGTTTTTAACATGGAGGGCCACTGAGCATGGTGGTGGAACACACCTGTAATCCCAGTACTTTGAGAGGCTGAGGCAGGAG